TCGCGAATTTAGCTCGTCAAAAAACGACGATTTATGCAAAGAAAAGTTTTTCCCACGGTGTTTCACTTTTTTCGGCCAAAAATTTTCGAAAATATGGGCGCTAAACATCAGATCCGGGGTGGCTGGAAGTCGGACAAGCCTCAACCACTTCCCCTTAGCCTACATATGTGCGTCGACGTCGTTCGCCCAAATCCTCCACAATCTACTAATCTTCCTCGACTTCTCATGTAGCTCACAAGGCAGGAGAGCGTTACGTCACAATTGATGGCTGCCAACCAGGCTCCTGCTCTGACCACGACAAAGTTTCTTGCCTTTTCCTAACTTCATCTGAGAGCCCGGCAGGGTTGGAATAAGGTCGGAAAGGCTTCAAAGCACCTCGGGGGCCATTTTGGCGCTTCCTGGGCCCTCCTGACTACCATATTTAGTATGTTACGTAAGCATGTTTCACTTTTTTCGGACGAAAAAAAATCAACCTGAAGTTATGGCTTAGTGATGGGTACTTGCGGATAGCTATGGACCATAGCTATCATCCTGTATTGTTTTTAGGATAAACGGATGAGTTGTGGATTCATGGTGTGGTGTTTTTGTCTAGCCATCAAATTTCCCAAATCGGACTGACGCGAGGTGATGACGAGCACTGTAGCCTCATGAACGGGACAAGCATCATCGGTGCCTAAAAACTGGGTTAGTTTTGATATACATCATGAAGAGGCTCACGAAAACTGACAGTCGCTTACCCGTTCGGACTCGGATAACTCCACTGGCGGGCGGTGGCACGAATCTAACCCTACAATTGTCAACGAAGACCTGCAATCTAAAAACTAGGTCGGCTACGGTGGCGACCTTTCTCTTGGTTTCTGCGCAGAACGATCCCAGTTTTTTGTAGCATGTACTTGAAGACAGACTCGTCGAAGTCGTCACTTATACGTATGTATATCCGGCGGCAAGTTTTGAGCTTGGGCCCACGTTGGCCCTGCGTTCGGCGTCCGGGAGTCATTGTCGTCAGGGTCAACCTTTGCGGCTAGCACTAATTCGACCAAGCAATTCCCGCTACTACATAGCTGAGTTGAAGCTCCAAGGGTTACTATAGCCAGTCTCAGTATCCAGCGTTCTTATAAACCAGCCTAGTACATCCTCCGGTCTCCCTGTGTAAAAGTTTGCGCTTTGGGAAAGTTACGTACACCGACATGAGGCTCTTCGCCGAAAGAGGAAGGTTGTTTCTCCGGATGTGCAGGGTCGTGCGTGGCCGCCGGAAGTTGCGACGACGACCTTGAAGACGGGCCTCGGCGCATCATGGAAAGGAGGAAAAGGAGTAATTTCGCACACGCAAGACAGGAGAGAGCCTGAGCTGCTAGCAGTGAAGTACCGTGAAATTCGTAGCGGACGGAGAACGGGTGGCGCTGTCAAGGTTTGCGATTCCTTCTCGGATGATGAAGCAATAGTTTGGTTTTAACTTGAATTTGTGGCGTGTAATGCATTGGGTCACGGTACCCACGGGAGCGGGAGTTTGGGTGGTTAGTGCACTGCATACCGGTACTACTATACACAACTGACCTAGTATAAACCACCGTAGACATCGTAGACATGAATATCATGATTGTTTGATGGAAAATGAACGATCCACGCCGATTTGAAGCTTGGTCAGTGAGTGATCAATGATACACTGCATGCATACGTAGAATGGATGACAGGAGAGGAGAAGAGACCTGGAGGAAAGGTAAATTGCCGGGATGTTTGAGTCTGATCGCCTGTAAAAATCCAGGAGTAAGCGGTGCACATGCCACCTCTATGTAGTATGTATGAGGTGTCCAATAATATGGGATGGCCATGGTCGGCATAGTGATAGATGATGTGATAGATCCCCTTCCACCTTAGCTTGCTCTCCCGCCTTGTTCTCTACCACCACCATCTCCCGTCGTTGTCGTCGACCTTTTTTCCTTGAGCCCAGCCTCGCGATAGAATTTTCCCTGCCAGACAGGAGGTAAAACCAGCGCGATCGTCTGTCGGTCAGTCTAGGAGCCTGATCGCTTACAAATTAAACACTTTTGGAATAAATATCAACAAGGCCAAATATCGCTCCAGGCGAAGGGAGAAGAGTACATAATACATTTTTCCCTTTCCCATCAACGGATTCCTTCCCCTCGTCCCCAAAGCTCCTCTTCCCCTTTTTTACCTGCTTCCCCTTCTACCTATCCTTTCTCCTTGTCGACGTCAGTCGTAAAGGAAAAAGTCGAACAACAAGCAGCAAACTAGTCCATTCGTTTTTTGTTTTTCGAGTAAAGCAACAGTCATCACCAACAGTAACAAGCAGCAGCAATGGGTTGTCTCAATTCGACGCATGTAGATGAGGAGGCCAAGGCTCGTGAGTGTTGTTTTCTCATCTTCTTGTTCGTTAGTGGCTGGGGGATAAGGGGCTAACTGTGCTGCGTAGGCAATGATGAGATTGAGAACCAGCTGAAGAGGGACCGTATGTCCGCCAAGAACGAGATTAAAATGCTTCTGTTGGGAGCTGGTGAATCTGGAAAGGTGCGTTGTTCGTTCGTTATCCAGTAAAGGGGTCGCGGTGCTGACGAAAGACGTACAGTCGACAGTCCTAAAGCAGATGAAACTTATCCACCATGGCGGATACAACGACCAAGAAAGAGAATCCTACAAGGAAATCATCTACTCCAACACCATCCAGTCGATGCGGTGCGTTTCTTATCATTTCGCCTCTTGTATCTAAACTAAGCGCTCATAACTCCACAGTGCTATTCTCGAAGCTATGCCTCAACTCGACCTCACCCTTTCTCCCCAAAACGACGCTCGCCGTTCTACTATCCTCGCTCTTCCCATGCAAATCGAAACCGACGTTCTCCCAAGAGATGTTTCCGACGCTATCCGCTCACTCTGGAAAGACCCCGGTGTCAAGGAAGCCGTCCGCCGCTCCCGCGAGTTCCAGCTCAACGACTCGGCAGTGTACTATTTCAACTCTATTGACCGTATGTCCGCCCCTGGATACATGCCCACGGACCAGGATATATTGAGAAGTCGTGTCAAGACAACTGGTATTACGGAGACGACGTTCAAGGTTGGAGAGTTGACATATAAGCTATTCGATGTCGGTGGTCAGAGAAGTGAAAGAAAGAAGTGGATTCATTGCTTTGAAAATGTGACGGCGTTGGTATTCTTGGTTAGTTTGAGCGAGTATGATCAGATGTTGTATGAAGATGAGAGTGTGGTATGTTCCTTTTCCTTTTCCATTCTCTCTGAAGGCTGGTACTGATTGAGTTGTCCAGAACCGTATGCAAGAAGCCCTCACGCTTTTCGACTCGATATGTAACTCGAGGTGGTTCGTCAAGACGTCAATTGTAAGTCGCTCTACTTCTTCATTCTACTACTGTGCTGACAACAGCTCGCAGATCTTGTTCTTGAACAAGATTGACCTTTTCGCGGAGAAACTCCCTCGGTCACCGCTTGGTGAGTGTCTCATCTTTGCTCTCCTTTCCGCCTACCCCTTGTCCTCTCCTATACATCCATCCGCCGCTACCGCTACCACCTGGTTCTGCCCCTAAACACCGCTGCGACTTTCCTTTGGCTCCTATGTTCCCCTAATAGAAACTAACTCCCTTTTCTCCTCAGGTGATTACTTCCCCGACTACAACGGCGGCGACAACTATGACGCTGCCTGCGAGTACCTCTTGCACCGCTTTGTTTCTCTGAACCAGAGCGCAGCCACGAAGCAGATTTACGCACACTATACTTGTGCGACGGATACGCAACAGATCAAGTGTACGTGCTTCTTCCTTTTGCTAAGTTTGGGATATAGGCTGACTGGTTCTTGCGTAGTCGTCTTGAGTGCAATCCAGGACATTCTGCTCCAACTGCATTTGAGGGAGTGTGGTTTGCTGTAGACACCTTCATTGGGATAGAGGGTCGGATTTGGATACGGATACGCTACACGCTCCACGATTTCTTGTTCTTGTCAACTGTCACTTCATCACACTTTCCATTCTGTTTCGTCTACACCACATTTCGGATAATCCACCTAGTCTCTAGTCTTACGTCCTTTTTCATTATTCGTTCATATATTCCTTTCTTACGCTTACGTTGTTCATGGATAACGCGGTCCTGGTCCGTTCATACCACTGTTCAAGATTCAGATCTTCTTTTTCTGGTGTTACATTGTTAGTTCGAGTTGTTCATGTTCAGCATAGGTTTCTCTTGACTCGTTACATGCATGCCCGTTGCTCATTACTTGTGCGAGTTGGTTGCGGCGGTTGCTTGGAGACCTTGAGGGGGTCTAGCCAAAGTTGGAACGGTCAGCTGAGTGCAGCTGAGGACAAAGGAGTGCGGTTAAGCTGTTGCGTAGGATAAAGGAATGGTTGGATGTGGAATAAGGCACTTGGTTGTTTGCATGTTTTGAACAATGAAGAGATGGGGTGATTGCCTCACTTGAATTCTTGTTTTGTGTCAGCGATGCTTTGAAATGTTCTGGCTTTGAAATCTGGAAATTTGTGTAATTTGTGCTTATATCGGCTCGCCGGGGGTGACCAACGCTCGGCCCTGAGGGTATTCAATATTGACACTCTAAATTTGACACTTGGTCTCCCTGCATCCCGCCAGGGAGTATTCGAGTAATGGGATACCAAGAACACAAGAGTTTTACAGGGCGTCTATTGGGCGCTTAATGGTTTAGAGCTGCTGCCGTTCGAAAAGAGAGACGGGACTATGTGACATGATGATTATAATGCAAGGTGATTATAATGCAAGGTTGCCCAACGATCAGTGAACAAAAATCTCATTGGTAGACCTCATGCCTCTAGGGGTGCTTGCAAAACAAATTAGCGACTGTATATCCTAAAAACTAGCATGGTAACAGGCTGAAATCTTGAGATATTTACAGAGCAATTCAGTGAACTCTTCTTCGAGGCTGACAGTGACAAGAACGCGATGACAATTCGCTTACCAGGCACAGATCGATTGCTTTATCGCCGGCAATGACACTACCCTAGTCATGCGGTCCAATAGTGTAGTGGTTATCACAATGGATTCTGATAGTGTCAGACTTCCATTAACCCAGGTTCGAGTCCTGGTTGGACCTTGCCGGTGCTTGATATTTTTATCTATGAAGATTTCTCATCATAAACACACTTTAAAGCCAGCATCGACTGGAAATAATTTTTTGTAATTAAACGAGCATCCCTGAAAAACTTGGACTGGACGTTCAACTCGGAGGAATGTTCTTGACCTCCTGCAGGGACATAAACTCATAACACCCCATGGGGTAACCACGATGTAGTGCCTACAACATATGAAGACGCCAACATTACAAGCGACTAAGCAAAGCACTGATTCTTCCTCATATGATGCCCCTCGAAAAATGATAGCTGCCGTTAATGCGCAAGACTACGGAATAACACTGCTTGCAACTCTAGCCTAGAACTGGGCGTTATTAAAATATCGTGTAGTGGAGAGCACAAGCGGGTGTCCCGTTGACGTCGCACTCTCTTGGGTTTCGATGGGTCTCCGTCGCGTAGAATTTTTTGTTCGCCGCTAACTAAATACTAAACACTAAAAGTAATTTAGAGACGCGCTTTTCACGTCCAATATTCCTGTCAAAAGTCATTTGTCGGTCGCGTCATCCCGCCCTTCACCGATTAATCGAAATGACTGTATGTCATGACCGTGACAAGGAGCCGCAAAAATCGCCTCGATAAGCAAATGAGCGCCCCGAACAAGGCTATAAAATTCTTGCGCCACGGAGGAATGGTCGACGTCGGGGGCGGGAACACACAAAGGAAGAGAAGGTCGGACTTTAATTTGGTAAGCGACGTAAAAAGCTCCGTGCCTTGGTGCCACGAAAACTTCAAACATCGCTTCGATAAGGGCTTGAACATTTTGAAACACACATACATACTACTTGAAGCCCCGACGATCTCCATGGACTCATTAGAGCTAAACTGAGTAACATTTATGCCAGGTAATGAAGAAACAAGGCCCGATGACTTTCCGACACGACCATGACTTTTTCATCGAATTACTACGGGTGATATCGTTTCATCTGGCTTCCCATCTTGGCTTGATATCAGGACATCTGAGCGTTGAGCACGATGCGAGTCCGAATTCTGCTTTAGCCGGCGGAAGCGCTCCGTCCTCCGACTCGGAAATCCGAGTCCGAACGACGTGGCCGGCAAGTGCCGAATTCATCTTTACCGACTTTTCCTCTGACAGCACTGCTGTCTCACCAACATCATATCCTAACGAGTATGTTCTCACATATCCTCACCTGTTCCTAGAACCTGAGCTGAATAAAGATCATCAATTCGTGTTTTGCATCGTGGTGACGATCTCCACTCACCTGGGTCGTCTTTACCGGATACAGCCTGTCTTGGAATGAGCTGTACACGTCCCTTGTTACTCAAATCCTCTCGTGCAATCTCTCCGGATCACCACATGCCTGGTCTAATGATTGGTGATAATTCATTTCCGCAGGTTGCTGTATCGCGTGGCTGAATCTCGTTTTACTTCCGCAGACCACCGTTTGCCTTCAAGCCCCGAGCTACGATACACGAGCTTCTACCAGTTCTGATGTGTTGCGAAGCGATGAATAGGAGCGTCAAGGTGGTTTTTCGGGCTTTATAATGCGCCTTCTTGGTCCCAGCATTCCTAGTATGCTGTTAGGACATCATATGCTTCTATTAGACGAACGATTGCCGAAGACCTTCGTGAGTTCCACGCTTCTCCTGAGCTCTTCTTTGAAAGGAGAACTCTGGTGCTCACCTCACGAATGATATTGGGGAGGATCCGGGAATCGATAGATAACAACTCAAGAAGAACGATACAACCGGAGGAACGGGGGTGATTATCAAGATAAATTCTTGGAATCAATGTCGCTTCGCGATCGCCTACAAGACGTCACCTAATTACCCAATTCGGTGAGGCGTAGAGGAACCGAAAAGGGAATAGTCTCGATTTTGACGCATCAAATATCCTTCGGCTCAAGCCTCGCCTCGCCTCAGCATCGGTTTTGCTGTTGTGCGGGATCTGCAGATGATGTCTAGATGACTCGTGTAGGATCCTTTTAATAGGTTTGTATTATCTCTAGATTTCGATTGGGCCTTTCCCTTACCTACCCGTTTCATTTATCAACCCAGGCGTTGACTGCGCAGTTCTCCAAACTACCCCTCCTCTTCCTAGCCTCATTACAGCCTTGGCCTCGTTCCCGCTCTCTTGCATTTATACTCCCTCGTCTTAAATCATCACTCACGACTGCCCACGTCCATCACTATCCATCCATCACCCAACAATGACCACATACGGCATGCCCTTCTTCCTTGAAGACAAAACCGGGAAACTCACCGGTTCCGAGTTCAACGACATTCACGATAGACTGCATTTCACCTATCGTTGTACAGCATACACGCCGTCTCACGCAACGTACATGATCTTCAGCTTGTCCACCAACCCTCTCATCGCTTTGTCCTTTGGGCCTAAGAATGCTTTGGGGACTATCTCATTCCCCTCGAACGTCGTGATACCCATGACTACATACTTAGTGAAGGTGACTACGCCCAAAGGAAGGTACGTGAGCACTGTTTGGATCCACGACCTACGTCTCATTTCACCTCAAGAGCTTGGAAATTTGTCGCGTCAGATGGTCAAGAGTACTTCTGGTCATGGAGGTCGCAGGCTAATCAAGAGTGGACAGTGAGTATCATCGGAGTTATTCGATCAGTAACCAGTACAGCTAATTCTCTTATAGTGCATAAACGCCAAAGGTTACCTCATCGCGTACTACAGTCTCAAGACGCCAGGCGAACCTCACTACGAGGGTTCGTCTGGTTGTTCCTTGACTGTCGAAGAGCCTTTCGGACATTTGGCTGCAGGTGAGTGGGTGCGGTAAAGCCGGAATTTTAATCTCATCCCCATTTCAGAGATGCTCGGCTCGTTGATGATTTTGCGGCATATGGTCGAACACAAACTTTGAACCTAAGGCTCGGCGATATCGATAAGTGAAAAGCCAAATCGACAAGTTATACCCCCAGGCGGAACCGGCAACAGCGGGTTTCCTTCTTTCTTGCATCCGACGTTCATCGACGAACGTTCACTATTTATCGTTCATCAGTTAGCCATTGTACATAGTGTATCTGTTCTCCCCTTTCTTGTAGCATAGTGTAAAGTACCATCTTTTCTAGCGTATTGTACTCTTCTTGTCCTAGACCGAGTTACCGATACTGTACATTCTTTAGTTTTCGTCAACGACTTATTCGTACAAGTGCGACATTCATGAAGCGTGATGAGGAAAAAGCCGATTTTGAAATGCAACATATTGCGTTTAGCATCTACTGGACCCTCAACCCGATTCCCGACACTCCTTCCCTGAACCCTTCAACGACTGCCAAAATACCCCAGGCACCCGGGTCAGGCGGTAACTCCTTCTCCCGCGTATCGTCACCCTGACCGACATAGACAGCCCGACCTAACCTCGCTTTCATACCCCTCGTACTGTCCGCTCCCCGTCTCGCAGCCTGGACGGCTTTGTCAAACCCACTTCCTTTTTCAAGCGTGGTGCAGAACGGGTGGAGTGCATCAATGATGGTCCGGTCGCCTGGCTTTGCTGGCGTATGCTTGGAGAGACTTTCTAGTGCGGTGGATAGTGAACCTGCAAACGAGGAAGATCTAGCGGAGAGGGCAGATGACCAGGCAGCGAAGAGTATAGCCATTACTATCCACGTATATTCAGTAGTGGTCTCAAGAGTGTCTGTCACAGACTCACAAGCACCAATAGTACCACCCATGTTGTCCTCTAGTATGTCGCCTAACTTCGCGACTAACTCTGAAGAATCCATGCTACCCACGTTCAATTCACCGCTCTCCAGAACCGAGATGATCGCTACGAGTCAGGTATATCAGAGCTAACTCTGTAAGTGTACGAACATGGCTTACCATTTGCACCTCTCGCGAAAGTAACACCACAATCCCCGTCTCCAACCACAGTGTCATACTCTGTCAACTCTCCTTCAACACTCAGCACCTTCCTACACGCGGAGATTATGCCGCGTTTGATAAGGTCTGGTGATAGGTCGGCATCAGTCCAGAACTTGGTCGTCTGACTGCTTTTAGTCTCCTTCCGCACTGGTAGCGTCTGGGGTTCTACTTCCTGTTGCACAGTCGACCAATGAGGCCGTGAGCCAACCCACGAAACGGCATCTGTAGGGTCATCTATCAACCCTAGTATGTCGACATCAGGCAGAGGGACATGAATCCTTGACACTTTCAGCAGTGAAAGCGAGAATCCTGGTGCGTTTAACGATGTCATATACGACGAGGAAAGAACACGAAGCGGAGATATGTTTCTTCTAACTGCAAGGCGATGAGTCTACCAGCGCCTCAGAGGAACCAGGTCGAAAACATACCTAGGTACTCCTTAGCATCACTAACCACAGCACCCATCTCCAACTGTGACATCCCTCCAAGATTATTCACAAATAGCACCACCTCATCCTTCTTCACCCCTTCCTTTTCGTCCATGACAAACTCCAGCACCTTCCCAAGCATTTCCCCAACCAACTCCTCCGGAATGTCAGGAACCTTCATCTTCCTCACCCCGGGTTCATTATGCAGGCCCAACCCCAATTCACACTCTTCCTCGCCTAATCTTCCACCTCCTTCCGGCTGCGTACGACCAGGAACATGACAGCACTCTAATCCAACACCAATACTCCTCAAGTTATCCACAACAGCATCTCCAAGTCTCTTGCAAGCATCCAGAGGTGCACCTCGCTCCGCAAACGCACCAAGAATCTTGCACACGAGAATGTTTCCGCCTAGTCCTCGAGGTCCTACCGCAGACTCTGATGGGAGCAGCGATACGTCATCGGCTACAACGACACTATCCACTCCCGTCGTACGACCTTCTGCGCTCCTTCTCGCTTTGGCTTTCTCGATAGCCAACCCAAAGTTCAACCTATCTCCTGTATAGTTGTTGATAATCACTAACACATCCTTCCCACTGTCACCGCCTACGGACGCCAACTCAATCGTATGCCCAATCTGCTTCGCAGATGGACTAGCAAACACCTCTCCAGACACACATGCAGT